CTATAGTTATAAGCTTTATGCACATGAATGTAATAATCAAATGAAATGTAGCATTATAAGCCTTTAATTGAATGCCTCAATCCGTATATTTCTCGGTTGTGACATTCTTGTATTTTTTTCCGGATACAAACTCTTTTTTCAAAGATACTGTCTTGTTGTGCTATGGTACTGCTCCTGATCTTGGCTATAATACTCACTTCAACAAGAGTCTATGTTAGGAGGTATGTGGTGATTCAGCACATCTATTTTAATGTCAGAAACTTATTTCTTGATTCCATAAGACATAGCAACAAAGGTTACAGGACTCTCCTTGGAACTACTGAAACATAGCGCAAAGTGCATAACATATCACGAGGGTACTGCGCTTGTGAGATTTACAAGAAGTGCAATTATTCAGTAGTTATATACCCACGTTAATATATGTATGTTGGGAACCAATCTATTGTCTTTCCCCATAGTATTTCTCATTGTTGTAGATTGAGGGGACCCATTGAGTTCACTATTTAGTTGTTTGTTGCTCAGACAGATGTTAGACCTTATCATACCTTTTTTTTATATTCAGATCATTTTGAGTTTTCCTCTGTTTGGTTGTGTGCAAACCCTAGGGATAAATTGGAGTGCATATGTCAATTACTAATTTGTTAAATTTATTCTTGTAGCCGTTCTGGAAAGTTGTTCAAGAAGGTTCTAGCCGAGGGAGGTGTGTTGTAGGTATGCATCCCTAATCCTTTTTTCTGTTCGAAGTAATTCTTCTAACCATTTCAATATCTAACGTGTGATTTCGTACAGGAGTCCTTGAAGCAAACTTTATCGAGCCAGCTCATGACAAACAGGATTTTGAGAGAACACCTTTGTTTATTCGTTTGGAAACAAAGCTTAGACATATCATCCTTGACTACTGGTATGTGCATAATATGTATTTGTAATTTATTTATCGCTCATGCAATTTATACATACAACCTCTCTTGTCACTTCTTTCCAAAAAATAAAAATAAAATAAAAAAGGGATAAGTTCATGTCATGTTATTTAGGTCCGTTCCCAAACTTATGTAGACAGTTGGACATGGTACCAAAGTGGAATGTTTATCCTAGAAACCTCACTTTTCTTCTTTAATTCTTACGGCCGTCGAGAAGGACCGCCATTAGGGCTGTCGAGGGGGACCGCCATTTCAAGCGTTGATCTTCCTCTTTGTTGCTCTCCCCACTTCCCCTTAAAATTAAAAAAAAAAATTGTCTTCATGGCAAGTCTACTCCTTCTTGATTGGCTCCCATGCGGATCCTCCTATGGCCCCTTCGTTCCACCCTCACAGGTGATCTGAAACTCATCATTTTTTATCATGTTTGTGTGGCCTCTGATGCCTTTCGCACATGCATTCCAACTCATCCTTCATCGTCATAATATGTATCCTCAACTACACCGATCTTCCTCTTTCTTGCTAGTTCCTTATATGTCACGTCAAATTTGGAGTCAAAGTCATCCAAATCTGACCGATCGTCAATATAAACTTGGACTTCTTTTCTTTGCATTTCCTTTTGGGGTCCTTCGTCATTGCATCCCGCTCTGATAATAGTAGTCCATTTCCATCGCTTTTTCTTGGTCTCTCCCTGATTTCTGAAGCTGCTTCTTGTTTTAGTCTCTCATCATGCTGATACTACACAACTTTGATAACATCTGATGCTATTGCTCCTCGTGTCCTAAAACCCTTCAGTTTCTCTCGTCGAGATTCTCGTATCAGCTATGTGGAAGTGCCCTTTTGCCCTCTGGCCTCTTATGTAGAGCTCCTTCTCAATGGTGAAAATTTCTGAAAAGCCTCTTGGCGTCCTATTCTACTGTTCCATCTGTCTTCTGTCTAGCCATTTGTGACGAGTTCCTCTTTGCAACCGCAACATCGACCATTGATACTTTCTCTGTCAATTTGTTCTCTGCCCTTCATTGCCAATCTCGTTACCACTGGTTTCTTTCTATCAATATGTGCACGCACGTGTTTGTGCATGGGTATCCTACATTCCTACTGATATGGATTTAGCATTATTCCTAGTATAACTCAGTCACTCAAACATGTTCACGATGTTTGTTTTATGAGCAGGGTCCATGTTTTGATCAACGAAATATTTTGTTTATCCCTTGATCCATTTCATTCTATTACAAGTCATTATCTTGTTTCGTGCAGGAAAAACAATTGTCACCATATTGGTTATCAGGAGATAAACAGCAAGCAGAAAGGATCTGACAAGCATTCTAACGGACTGAAGCAAAAGGCACAGCAGCAACCCTTTGCTGGTCAACATGTCATAGATCTGTCAGCTGACGTGCAGCCTGATGTCCACGTTGAGAAACCAGGTGATGATGAAACTACACATGTTGGAATTTCTGACGGTGATATTAATCTCTCATCCTAATGTTGTGTTTCCTAGTTGTTGGTGGGTCTGTTTCTTTCTTGCTAAAATAATTCCATTATATGGGAGCGTGCAAATGGATTATTCAGTAAGTCATCCTATTGAGTTGGACCAATTTAATGGTTCATAGATTCAGAACCTTTTCAAAGACAATAAAGACTGTTTTCTGGTTTCTGCTTTTTCTTCTTTCCTTGTACGTTTGAGATTTTGTGAATTGACCTCCCAACGTTTATGGCTAATCTTCCTGTGGTGGTCATGACGTCAATATGCAAATAAAGCTACACAGAAAACTTGATCTTGCTTTCTAACTATAGTTGGTCATTGTATAAGGAAATTAAAAACAAATACAAAGGGAAGTTTGTTTATACATCATATGTGTAGTCCATATCCTAAATTTAGTTCAAAGATATCATCTACAAATACTTGTCGAATCACTTCTTGCCATATATTTCTCTGCATAAAAAGTTATAACGCTTGGCTTCTTTGCAATGACAAAAGCTAATCTCTTGCTGTTGCAATGAGCCTTAATATTAGGTTTTAAAACCCGAGTTCTTGGCAAGGTTCTCCTTGTAACTAATGTTGTAACTGTTGTTGTGTCGTTGAGTAGTGTTCCAAATATGAGAATGTAGTGCGGCTATAATGTTGAAGGCTGCAGCATCTACACATATCCGTGACACTTTATTAAGTATGTAGGGTATAGCAGATGCTAAAACACCCACTTATACGACATTAAAGTGGATTAAATAGGTTAGTAGATGGGGAAGCACTAACCAACAAGGTTGCTTACTTTTTCCTTTTTTTTGTTCTGGAAGCATCTTTTTTCCATTTTGATTCTAATTTTCATCATATTTATGTTGTTTGAAGATGTTATTGTCTGTACTATAATATTGACTATTTTTTTCCTTTGATTTTGTTCTGCAAACTTCAGTTCATCACAATGTTTTGAATTTATCTTGTTTGAAAGAACGATCCACCTCTTTATCCACTATAATTTTTTAATTTTCTGCAATGTTTTTTTCAAGCTTCTTTTTCACCTTCATCAAGTTGTTTTCATATTTTTAGCTTACATCTAGTTGTTATCAATAGTAGAAATAATAAAGAGCTATTACATTATACACGATGATTCTTGCGCATGTTTATTTCTTCTATATTTAAAATTTTAAGGTTATCTTTATATATATATATATATATATATATATAAAATTTTGTATTTTATATTCATAAGTATGTCTTTATTATGTAAATAGCTGTCCTACTTTAGCAGGCGATAGGGTGCTTATTAACCGCTTTACACATTGGAACACCGGTTGCGTATATGCTTCCCAGTAGCATGTATTTCTTTAGCAAAAGTTCACTGGAGATCCCTAATGTTTCAGCCAAATATCATCAAGGTCCTTAATGTTTCGGCCAAATATCATTTGGGTCCTTAATGTTTGTAAGTCATTATTAGGGTCCCTAATGTTAGCTCCGTCAGCAACCTAGGTCATTTTACAAACTTCCGTTAAATCTTATTGGCATGATAATGACATGACCCTGCTAGCAAAAAATAGTGAAACTCCAAGTTTGTCGTGCCATATCAGGAAACAATTAGTGAAATTACAAGTTTGTCCTGCCACATCATTGACACATTAGCAAGATTAAATGATAGTTTATAAAAAGGACCTAGGCTAATGATGGAGGTAAAATTAGAGACCCTCAATAATGACTTCCAAATGTTAGTGACACAAATAATATTTGGCCAATATGGCAGGAACCTCCATTGAAGTTGCCTATTTCCTTGAAAAAAGGTGAAACTGGGCATGAAGTGTAGTCAATGATTTGTACATGCTAGAAATTCATCTCTGTTCTGGTCCCCAGGGTTTGACAATTCCATTAGCTTCATATGATCAGGCTTTTAAGATGCAATGATAACATCGATCAGTTGGCATATGCAGTGATACTTCAGCATTTTCAAATTTAAACATCTCTTTTGTAGAAAATATAGTATGCTCAAATTCTATCCTCTTTCTCATGTGGTTGAATCTGAAAGGTTTTCAAACGAATATTGAAGGCCTGCCTATACTTTTGTTGTGACAGACATGTAGTTTCTCACTATAGAAAATTAACCCTACTTGCGTGTTATTACTGAGAAGAAAAAAATTGCGGGAGCAGTGATTGTATCGTAAATAAATATTAAAATATTAGATGGTCTGGACAATAATGTGGATAACTACTGCATGCTGTACATGCACATTTGGTTGCATTCTGTAGCCTATGCGCTTATGTTGTTGAATAACAGTCTAGTTTCATTTCTACAGCTTGGGAATTATCTTGCATGTTGAAATTGTTTTTCTGCAGAATATGTGATGAAATCTTAAATAGATTACCGATCATTCTTTTTTATTGACCATGAAACATAGAAGACTACACAATTGTTCTGGAGTGCTAATATATGGTAATTGTTTACTTTTAACTATCACCAGTGTCTCTTAATGAAGCAAATGCTGTGCATTCCGTCATGGAGCCTACTGAATTAAGTGAGGTGCATATCTTCTTTCAGTAACTTTTTCATGTTCTTTCATTTTATTTGTTAGTTGATCATCCTTTCTCATTCTAATGATTCATTTTATGCAAAAGGCATTTGATATTTTACCAACATATATATTTGTTTTATTTGTATCCTTATTCTTAGTTCATAAAGTTGTTTGCTTAAATCTGCTGCTTGCCCTTTTGTTACCCCAAGAGGTGGTACTTCTCTTTATTTTCATTATTCTTTCATCAATTCATTATAGATTATACTTCTTTATGCTTGTCTATTTTTTCCCTCATCTATTTTGGTATAATTCGTTAACCATGTAACTAATATGCATCTTGATTTCTGAAAATTGTTGCTGCATAATTTTGTAGTAGAATGTATACATATAGCATTTGTATCCAAAATTGATTTCTCAATCTTCATTGACAGAAACTGGCTTTGGTTTTACTTATAGCATTAATATCAAAAATTGATTTCTCAATTGTCCTTAAAGGAAACTGGTTTTGGTAAATTCTTCTTCTTCCGCTCCACTGAAAGAATAAGTTAGCGGAAGCCTCACTGCACTTCTGCTTAGGACCCGTGCTATCATGTGATACTCTTATTTATCATTCTTTTGTTATGCTGGATTCTCATTTGAGAAAAAGAACGTAAAAGTCTTAAAACATTTGGGCTTTTCTGAGCATAATGAGATTGGTTCTGGAGCACAATTTTGACCCTCTTACTAGGCACAAATTTCAGTCCGAGAAGACTAACAACAAAACAGTTTCCCTGCACACAAGCCAATTATTAATAGACTGGTAAGATCTGTATGACTATTTGTAGTAAATGTCATAGGCATGTCAAAAAATTGAATGGGTTAACAAAAGGCATCCATAAGACTGAAAATCTGAATATTAGAAACAAATTTTAACCCCAAAATGACTACATAACCTTAACTTCGGTAACTCAAAACTTTAGACTGTCTGTCAATTGTAAATATATTTCTTTAATTAAGCCTAATATTGTTTTTAACTTTTATAATGAATCTTGTCATTGAGACTATTTGAAGCACCAGTGTCATGATACTTGCTTTCAGGACCTCGAGGAACATGATTCTTTTGATATTCTAGCCGGTACTTCGATTGAGAAATTAAGTGAAGAAAACATTCAATTGTTTGGCAGGTAAGAAACCTCTTTTGTCTTTTTCAATTTTTTTTTTTAATTCTTGTTGAAAGTGTTTGTAAAGAACCTCCCATGTTAGGAAATCAAATTTTTTTACTAATTAGTTCTTGTTGTGGATATGGATCAAAAGGAGGCTCTACCATCTATGATCTGCTAGTAACCACCATAGATTGTGAATTTGTATCAGTTGCACACCTCATCAATTTCAACAATGGTATAATAAGCCTGCAACAATGGTCCGTGCATGCTTAATTTGAAAATACCCTCAACTAATGTAGATGAGATTGGACTAAACAACCTGCCATAATGAGAGAAATGCCATACAACATGATTTAACCTCACTTGATATGTGCTTAAGGGTGGGGATTTACTTACAAAAACTCGTCACTGTTTTTTTAAAGAAATATGTGCTTATTTGACATAAAAAATGGATGTTTGGTAATCAACATAAAAAAGACATTTTAAATAAGCAGAAGTGAAAAGACCCTATCTAGATAAGCTAGATTTTCTTAGCTTCTTTCAACTGCAGAATCTAAAACCCATTCATGTGACGTCTCTCTCGCCCACATATTATCTCACACAATCTTCCTTTTTTCCCCTTGTATTTGTACATTACTACTAATGTTATTCGTACTCAATCTCTTACACATTCATGCTTATCCCAATTCAAACAAATCTTCAAAAAAAAAAAAAAATTCAAATATATCAAACCCTTTAGTATTTAGTAGATACTTTCTAGAAATCAATTTTCTGTAAATTTCCTCCATAAAAGAACTTATCTATAGGCATTAGGCACAATCCAAATCCACCTTGAACTATGTTGCTTCTTTTTGTTCCCTTCCGTTAAGCTAGGATGGGCTGTGATTTGTTGATGTGTGATGTGATGTGAGGTTAACCAGAAGCAATCGATCAATTTGATATTTCTCTCATAATGTTTGTACAAGATATTTAAATACTATTTTCTCATTTTTTTTTGTTAATTTACACCAATACATCAAATTTACTAGTCCAAAAACTAATGGCTTATGTTTGGTCTTTCAACTTATACAAATTACGATTAATTGTTGGTTAAGTAGGTCACATAAAGCACTCCAATACCATTTCATATTGTTAGCATTACAATGATTACACCAACTTTATCAGCCCAAAATGCAACCGTTTAATTTTTTGGTCTGACAACTTAAATAAAAGTAGGACTAATTGTTGGTTACATAGTTTATATAAAGCAATCCAATGTCATTTCATATCATTTAGCAATTCCTGAGAGGTGGAACATCAATTTCCATGAGCTCAAATTGTAGTGTTATGCTTCAAAAGTAGTACTCTTGGAGATTTACCAGATCAAATTCACTTTATCATTTATTTTCATTTGTTAGTTTGTGTTTGCTTTTTAGTCTTTATGCGTTTACTTGATGATAGATTATAGATTTAATTTATAGTCTTAATGTGTTTACTTGATAGATTATAGATTTAATTTAATGGTCATTAGTTCCTTAGGGTTCTTGCTTGAATTTTCTTCAGTTGAGACTTGAATTGTTAGCCTTTATTTTTTGGGTCAGTAGGTTGAGGTTGGGGTTCCTTATTAAAGTGGTGAAATCAGAATATATAGTACCATTTTGATTATTGTTAAGGAATCAAGTTTGATGCATTGGTTAGTTGAGGGTGTAGCTACATATCTTCTCTTCTCGAGGGTGTGGTTCCTGTTCTAATGAATTCCTCAAAATTTCTCAACTATTCATTGCTCGTTAAAGTAATCTCGTTTGATTGGTATGATGTTGTCGAAAGATCTCCTTGCTTAATACCTGTGTCCTTGCTGCTTTGATAGCTAAATTAAGACAGTAGTGTATAGGGCTTATTATCTTTCTTGCACCTACATGTGTTGGATGCCCTTTATTCATGTATGACCCATGCTTGACACTTTGAAAAGTTTCATTTGAAGTATGGTATGTTTTTAATAGGTTTTTCCTGCATATTCTTTGGATCTCTATCAGTTTTTTTTCATAGTGGGAAGAGAATTATCGTATCTTTCATTCCCATATGTTTTATTCGCGACTGTGGATAGATCACAAGCTCTAAGGCTTTGCTTACTCATACAGTGAATATTAGTATCATATTGACCCCTTCTATGAGATCTGTGAACTCCATAAGGTCAAACATTATGTGCGGAGAAGGACTTCGTTAGTAGGTGGCGGTGAGCTTCAAATATGTGTAGAGAAACAAATTTATCATTTAATTTTGCATTTTTGATCCCCAAAATTTTCATCTCTGACTGTTTTGATAAATTACGAGCCTTGACCCTTTTCTTTACTAACCACTACAAATTAAGCTAGCCGTGTTAGTGAACCATTCAATGAGATCCATGAAGTTCACATCATATAAATCATTCTGTAAGCAGGCGTGAAGAGCTCCAGCGACGGGAGACCGAGCTAAAACAGACAGTGAGATGCTATTTCTCAATTTCCTTCTTTTGTTAAAAAATATTCTGCAATTCTTCCATCAAATTGTGTAAATTTACTTGCATTGGACAGATTGAAGATCTTGAGCGTGAACTTGGAGAAGCCAAAAGAAAATGTACCCATCTTGTTACACAGTTGGGAATTCAGAAGAAACAGGAGCAGACAGCACAACGAAATGTTATATAGGGAGGCAACTGTGTTCTTTTCTGGATTTTGTACATAGAACTGGCATGGCCAATGCTAGCCACAGCCGTAAGTGGGGCGAATGAACCCCACTCGTGACTGTGGCTAGACCTTCTAAAACTGACATAGTTTGGGACTCTTGGTACTATAGGATCTAAACTTGAATTGACCATTTTAGAGAAAGGTTTATCAACTAATTAAATGATATGGCTACAAATTATGTAGATGAGTTTCATGATTTTTGTGATGCTTCTTGATTTACAACCTGCAGGTTTCTAGTAGCTTGATTTTATCATAACTTGATGGCACATTATCCAACTACATATGACCTTTCTGCTATAACAAAGAAGATAGAAATCAAAATTATGAAGACAGTTCATAACCATTGCTTAGCTGTTGGCCTATAACCAGACGGTATATATAGAGCCTGTCATTGAGAATTCTTTTCTGAGCAACCTCGCACAAATTCTTTGAACGTGGTTATCATTATCTGTCTTTCATATCAGATTTCGGGAGAAACGTGGCTTCTAGACTTCTTTCCGAAAATTAGGCACCAAAAAGGAAAAAACAAAAAAAGATTTCTGTCATAAAATTATTCATATATGAGGATAAGATCATTGATAAATATTTTCTTTAATTGTTTGACTTATTGATGTACCGCTGTGTAGACAACTATTTGAGATCATGTATGTAACACTTTACATGTTTTGCGGTTCCCCCCTTCATTTTTAAAGGGTTAAATTACCATATTGGTATATTTAGTGGCACATTTGTACCAATAAGGCATATTTAGTGGCACCGGCGATAATAAGACATATTGTGTGAGATCCATTTTGCCACTAAGGCTCCGACGGCCGGCGTTGAGTTTTGAATCCAGAAGTTCTCAGGACAAATTTTCAAAACCGATCCCTTTGGGTTTTTAATTGCAAAAAACGACCGGTTTTAAAAATATTTACAAAAACCGACCTGTTTTTAGCCAGGGGTTGAAAACATGTCGGTTTTTTTAAATTTTTTTGGGAAACTTCACGGGAGTTGAACTCCCGTGAAGTTTTTCTCATAACAAAACTTCACGGGAGTTGAACTCCCGTGAAGTTTGGGAATTTTTTTTTTAAAAACCGACCCAGTTTCAACCAACTGGGTCGGTTTTTATAAATAAGATTGAAATGAGTCGTTTTTTGCAATTAAAAACCCAAAGAGGTCGGTTTTAAAAATTTGTCCGAAGTTCTCATGTGATTGCACATGATTTAATTTTGTTGGTTTTTCTCGCTGATGTGGATGAAGTTAGCTGACATGGCAATGGTAGTTGGGCTCTATTAAAACCGAAGGGGGTTTAAAATTGGGGGTGAAATTAGGGTTGAAGAAAACCACCCAAATTAGAGCTCGTATAGGAATCTAGGGTGAAACTGATCTCATTTCTTATTTGTGATGTCTTATTCAAGCTCAAGCTCTTCGTTAATTAGCAAATGGGTGAACTTTGGCCATGATATCAACGGATGGCTTGTCTACAACAATTAATGGAGTTAAGCTGCTAAGTTTAGTGGTGTTAAATTGTGTCATTGTGATTTGGAGTGCGATTACTGCACATTAGTGACAATGATAATCTAAGTAGGAGGTTTTACAAAGGAAAATGATAGGGGCACATCCCCAACCACAATCTCAATCACACCCCCTCTCTTATTTACTACAGTGCATCGGCCCCCATATAGGATTTTAAATTTTTAAAATCTCATGTGGGGGCCGGTGCACTGTAGCAAATGAGAGAGGGGGTGTGGTTGAGGTTGTGGTTGGGGGTGTGCCCCTAGTGCCACCCTTACCTAATAGTGAATTAGATGTAATTCGATGAATGTATCTTTATTTTGTGATATTAATGAATATCGAGACTTTTTCTTATTTTACAAAATGTTATGATAGATTGTGTACAATATGTGAGATTATGTGTAAGTTTCAGCGATGTGCAATATGCACAATGTGGATTATATGCACTAAGATTCATACACAAAATCTGGACTTAAAATCTGAGCATATATGCACAATACCTGTTTTGAAGGAATTATGTTTATTATTATGAGCTTACATTCATGAAATCTGGGCATATATATATGCACCATAACATCAAATTCAAACGCATATTATATGAAACATGTATTGCACATAATATAAGCCATAACATCACTTTCAAAACCATATTACTGTTGAAAATGAAAATTTCAACATGTCCATGACTTCAACCTGAGCCCCACAACACAGTTTTTACAAAATTAAAACCAAAAAGACATAACCAGGAGCATTCGAAACACAGTTTCCATTGTTTCCTGAAAAAAAAAATCCCCAAAAAGAAATATAACCATGCTATGCTATGATCACTCTATGACTTGAGAGCCATTTTGTGATGAGCCAATTTGTTTTGGGTCTTTCCATGCAACTTCTCCACGATCTCCATGCCATAATCCATATCCAACTGGAACTGATGGATGATTTCCTCTGCCTCTACCTCTGTTGAATATGGGTGTAGATCCATACCTATCAAAGACGAAATCAAGGCCGACGGCGAGCTCCGGCGATGCTCTGTTGGCGAGCTCGAAGTTGATGGGCTTCAGGCGAAGTCCAGTCGGCGAGTTCAAGCTTTGATGCAGGCAAGATCAACGAGGCCACAACAGGCGAAATCGTGACCCCTTTGATGGCAAGTCAACAACTAGCAGGTGGAGTCGACGTGGCTACAGGCGAGCTCGATGTTGGGCATTTGCTGCAGGCGAGTTCGAGAGGAGTCTTCGACAGGCGAGCTCGAGCGGTCCTCCTACAGGCAAGTCGACAGCTGCAGGCGGATTTCAAATGATGTCTGGCGAGCTCGCGATCCCCTTTCACCTGCGATGTTGGAGAACAGCTAGATCCAACTGGCTAGGGTTTTCTTATTTAAACCCACGAGCATGAGAAAAGCCATGCCCCTGTTTTTTCTCTTTCTCCTCAGCAATTTATTGTGGCGATGGCCATTTATTTGAGCTCGAGATTTTCAGAAGAAAATCTCGTTCTTTCTTGTGAGATTCCTGTAGCGACTTATTGAGAGAGAAATAGAGAGGAGATTTTCTTTTTTCTATTGCTTAACATAAGATCCGGTAGGGCAAATTCCGCAGAGGGTTCATATTTGACAGGTGGTCGAATAGCTAAGGAGCAGTTGTACCAACTTTTGGTAGCTTGAATCCCCAAGAACGGGTATCAGAGCGTATCTGATATTTCCTAACAACTGGTATCAGAGCCATTGTTCAGATCTGTGTGTGTAAGAAATGGCAGAAGAAGGCAAATCAAAAATTAAGAAGTTTGACGGACCAGACTTCGCCTACTGAAAGTCACAGATGGAGGACTATCTGTACCAGAAGGATCTTTACCGTCCGTTGATGGGTAAAGTAAAATGACAGAAGAAAGAAGAATCCGACGAGGACTGAGAAATATTGGATCGAAAAGCCTTGGGTAGGTCCGATTGGCCCTCGCAAAATCTATAGCACACAATATATTAAAGGAGAAGACGACAGTGAAGCTTATGGAAGCGCTCACAACAATGTACGAGAAACCGTCAGCTACAAATAAGGTGCATCTCGTCAAGACGCTATTCAACCTCAAGATGGCAGAATGATGTTCCTTCACGATACATCTCAGTGAGTTCAACACGATTGTTGATCAACTAATCTCAGTCGACATCAAATTTGATGATGAAGTGTAGGCCTTATTGATACTATCGCAGTTGCCAGATAGTTAGGCAGGTAGCGTGACCGCAATTAGTAATTCGGCGGGAAAGGAGAAGTTGAGGCTGAACGAGGTGATAGCTATGGTTCTATCCGAGGAGGTTAGAAGAAAATCGAATGAATTAGAAGGTTCAGGTTCAGGTTCAGCCTTAAGTCTCGAGCAGAGAGGCAGAAGCCATAATAGGGGAACCAAAACAGAAATCGATCGAAGTCGAAGAAGAAGAGGTCTAACTCGAAGGTGAGACCCATCAAAGGAAAATGTTAGAACTGCGGCCAGGAGGGCCACATGTCTTCTACCTGTAAAACACCGAAGAAAAATGAGCAAGAGGCTCATATTGTGCAAGATGCATTGATTCTCGCTATGGATAGCGATTCCGATTCATGGGTCATTGATTCGGGAGCCTCTTTTTACGCCACTGCTAATAGAAGGCTATTTCAGAACTATGTAGCAAGGGATTTTGGGAAAGTATACTTGGGGGATAATGAACCCTGTAGTGTCATTGGAAGAGGTGACGTGCAAATACAGTTGAAGGGTTCCAAGTGGTCTCTGAAGAATGTCAGACACGTACCGAAGCTGATGAGGAATCTTATTTCAGTTGGTCAGCTTGGGGCAGAAGGCTATGTTACAACATTCACCGGTGATTCGTGAAAAATCTCTAACGGTACAATGGTGGTTGCCCGAGGCAACAAGACCGGTACCCTTTACCTAACTTCACACGCGAGTGACACTCTCGCGATTGCTGCAGGCAAAGAGAGTGTAGACCTGTGGCACAATAGGCTGGGACATATGAGTGAAAAGGGTATGAAGATTCTTCACTCAGAAGGAAAGCTAACAGGCATTGATTCGGTGGAAGTCGGTGTTTGTGAAGACTGCATCTTCGGGAAGTAGAAGAGAGTTAATTTTCTGAAGGGTGGAAGACCACCTAAAGCTCACAAGCTAGAGCTTGTTCATACAGATGTATGGGTTCCAGCTAGTGTATCTTCTCTTGACGGTTCGGCGTACTACGTTACCTTTATCGACGATCACTCGAGAAAGGTGTGGGTATACTTCATGAAGCACAAGTCAGAGGTATTCAACATCTTCAAGAAGTGGAAAGCCATGGTGGAAAATGAGACAGATCTGAATGTGAAGTGTTTGAGATCAAACAACGATGAAGAATATGAACTGGAGGAGTCCAAGAAGTTTTGTGCTCTGAACGTGATTCGTTTGGAGAGGACTACTCCCGGGACGTCGCAACAGAACGACGTAGCAGAAAGAATGAACAGAACGCTGACAGAGCGTGCGAGGAGCATGTGTTTACATGCAGGTCTACCAAAATTTTTTTGGGCGGACGCGGTGTATACAACAACATACTTGATAAATCATGGGTCATCAGTTCTATTGAACTTTGGGATTCCGGAAGAGGTTTGGAGTGGTAAGAAAGTTAATCTCTCACACTTGAAAGTCTTTGGTTGTGTGGCATATGTCCATATCAGTAATCATGTCAGGGACAAGCTGGAAGCTAAGTCACTAAAGTATACATTCATTGGGTACGACATTAATGAGTTCAGGTATCGTCTTTGGGATGAGAAGAATAGGAAGATCATCAGAAGCCGAGACGTCATATTTAATGAGGAAGTGATGTGCAAGGACAGAGACAATGCCAAGGCGGGCCAAAGCAGTGCGAGCAGCACTACGGATACGGGTGCATCCGAGTATATAGATTTGGAAGAACTTCCAGATGGGGGAGACAATATCAATTCTGACCGAAGAACGGAGGAGACTCTAGGTGCAGAACCGACTACCCAGGGTGAGGAGCTTAGGAGGTCATCCAGGATACCCAAATCGAATCCTAGGTATCTCTCGTTACTAGACTACCTACTTTTGACAGATAGCGGAGAACCAGAATGCTATGAGGAGGTTATGCAACTGAGCGAATCTCAGCAGTGGGAGCATGCAATGCAATAAGAGATGGATTCTCTCCACTCGAACGAGACATGAG